CATGCGGATGGGTGACGTCGCCCGAGCAATGAGGGCTCCCGGACGTCGCCATACTACGGACTCCCTCCAGAGAAGTACATCGAGTGCTCTGTTGCGCCCAGGCCCTGCTCAACCCTGTCCCTGGACGGACGCTACGCACGGTAAAAAGAACATCTTGGAATTCAAGTAGATTCCTTGAAAACTGTCTTGAAAACCAAGTAGATTGCTTGAAATCCAAGATGTCATTTTTACCGTGCGCGGACGCTAGAGCTAGGAACAAAGAGAGCTCACAACACCTCGTATCTCGTTGCCGCAGGGTCGTGACCCCGCCGTGGCACTCCAACAGGTGGCACCGGGTGGCCCGGGTGGCACGCAGCAAAGGCGTGGCACGCAACCACGGGGAGCAGGGCGCATAGCTCTCGGCGAGCACCACGTCGACACAGAGACCACTAGGTCGTGGTTAAATTTATACTCTGCCGGTAAGATCCACAACCACTGCTCCACCACAGACACCACTGCAACGAGCACAATGCCGGCCGCAACCACTCCCACTTTAAACTGGCGGCCATAGGCCTCCTGCATGGCCGACACACGGCCGAGCCTCCTGATTGGTCAACACCGACCTTTCTTCCGGCGGCTGCTGAGCATGGCGGAGATCCAGTCCCGGAAGAGGCCGAGCGCCGCGGCGCCCAGGACGGGGGCGGCCACCAGCGAGGTGGGCAGGGGGAGGGGCGCGGCGGTGGGGGCCGAGCTGGGGACCGGGCCGGGGGCGGGGCCGGGGCCGGTGGCGGGACCGGGTGCGGGGCCGGGAAGCAGCACAACGGGGATGACGACGGGCACGGCGGCGGCACCCGGGGCCGGCAGTGCGGGCAGCAGCGGCCGGCGCGCCCCGCTCAGCCACCACTCCATGGCGGGGGTGCGCGTCGCGGAGCACGTCGCGGAACAAGGCGATCGACTGCACGAGGCAGGCCGGCGCGGTGGCGCGGCGACGGCGGCGCGTCAGCAGCTCAGTCAGGCCCGGCAGCACTACTGGCGGGCACAGGCTGTGCCGCACAGCATCATCAGCTGGGCGGGGTTGGGGCAGGAGGAGACGGGGGCGGGGGCGGGGGAGCGCAAGGCCGCGCGCCGCCGGCCGGTGCGGTGACCAGTGGCCGGCCAGACGCGCGCCTCTCCCGCCTGCGGCTTAATTTAGCGACGCGAGGGCGGAGGAACGTTCGAGTGAGAGGCGCGTTCTAGACACACACTCTTTGGGTGCTTGGGGCAATGCGCTCACCACTGCACGCCCCGCGCGGACTGCCCTGCTGACACAGTGCCCGCCGCGCCACCGTGCAGAAATTTTTCTGGAAATACTGGAAACTTTTCCAGAAAACAAATTGGAAAAAATTGAAATGATCCCAAAAAAAATTGAAGAAATTTATTGAACTTTTGAGAAAGAAAGGCACGAGATTTTAGAAATAATAATATTGACAAATACTTTTCCGGGAAATTTAAATTCCTCAGTCCACACGCTCCTCGCACTACACCGACCAAAACAACAACACGAGAGCGGCGGCGCGCCCTCAACTGATAGCAGGGCGGCCAGCGCGCCCAAACTTATCTGTGACGCCCCCCCGACGTGATGAGCGGGGTGCCCCCCGGCGATAACGCCAGAGAGGTCGAGAGAAAGTTTTGGAAGAGGCGGGGAAAGGGTTTGGGGGTGTGGGGGAGAGGGGAGAAGCAGAGGGGGAAAAGAGGAAGGCTGTGAACTGCGTGTACCGTGCTGCACAAGTGCAGCGGCAAGAAGGGCGCGCGCACCTGGCAACCGATTAGACCGGCTTTCCCCCAAAACCATTAAAGACGCCTCCCCCTCCCCCATCCTCCTCCTCCTCCCCTGTGTAATTCCCTGCACAGCAGCAATATGCTCTCGTTTTAAAACATTCATTCAGGTGGCGTGGCGTGGCGGGCAGAGGGCGGGTCGGACACAGGCTGGGGTGGGGGCGTTCGGGGGTGTGGCGTGGCGGGGTGAGGTGGGAGTGGCGGGAGAAAGTGGTAGCAAAGACGTGGTGTACAACAAGAGAACTTGCCTGTGCCCCACGCAACTCTCCTGGCCCTCCTTGCTCTGCTGCTACCGAGGAGAGGTACCACGACCCACCACCACTACCAACACCACCACACATGCTCCTCCTCGTAGCCACCGAGACCGAGTATCGAGGAGGCGTCCGCCGCCGGAGTCGGTAGGGGGTGGTGGTGAAGGGGGGGGGTTATAACCAGATTACCGTAAAAGGACCGCAATCCACTTTGCGAGATTAGCGAGCAAAGTAAATCACCACAAAGAGTGAGAGGAAGATTTTGGAGGAGGCAGAGAGGGGTGAGGGGCGAGGAAAACAAAGTCCAAAGAGAGAAAAGTCCGGGGGAAAGGGGAAGGCACCGCCGCCGCCGCCAAAGAAAGGCTCGACGGGCGCGGCCTAGAGGGGTTCGAGTTATAAATCTGAGCAAACGCTTGTCGTAATCTGCTAAGCTCTGGCCGTTGTGGGGCGGGGCGTGCGGGGACTTCCCTGAGGTCGGTATGGACTACACGCTGACCAACCGATAAGCTCACAATACAAAATAATTCCCGCATACACCGTCCCCTTCACAAACCGCGTCACGCCCACTATATGCAAGCTACAGATTAGCGAAAAAGAAAAAGACAAGCACAAGCACTTTTCTTATTTTTTCTCCGTCGAATTTGCTTGCTGCGCATTGAAAAGGCCCCGCATACACACTACTCGCGTGTAGTTATGCTCTGGAGTGCACTGATTACGCCCCCGAGATAAAGTTCCAGCAGCACGCCTGTGCGCACAAACCACCTGCTCCGCTCCGACGCGCCGCTTTACACGTGTGTGCGCGGCACGTGTGTGTGCTCAGCGGGGAGGTGGAGCAAGCAAGAGCAAGCGAGAGCAAGCGGTGTTTGCCTTCATCTCGAGTGTGCGTGGGCTACGCACCACCACCGCCAGCCTCCCTACGGAGGGAGAGGAGCCGCACGCGATCACCGGCTTCGTCGTGTCCTCGTAAAGGACCACACAATCCAGACAACGCGGCGCTGTCCAATTCAGAAGCTCCTCTGCGACGGAGCGAGTGGGAGCCGGAAGCAACGGGACCCGCGTCTTACTTGTACTTCCGGTCTTAGGCCTGGGTGGGCTCCGTCTCCCTCGAAAGGATAGGAAGGGAACCACTTTGAAATATCTCGTTATCCGATTTCAAATAGAAATACGGGACATGGTGTGCGAATGATTCAAATTTCATCGTAATTTTCCTTTATTAAGGTATTCGCTCAATTGTAACTATAATATAACTTTGAGTCTGATATATTTTTAGGTTCTCACGCGGCTCTCATGGGATTTTGCGGTTGGTCAACATGCTCTCCGCGCTCACTTCGGGTCGTCCACTGGATCTAAAAGAGGTTTGAGGTCCTGCTGCTATAGACCAGCTCTCAGGGAGGGCTGAGGAGGGAGGGGGCTGATTGTGCTCGGGCAGCGGCCGTTCCACAGCGAGCCCCGCCCCAGCGGACCACCGCGCCGTTTCCACCGGGCGGGCCGGCCGACCAGGCAGGTCCCAGCAGCCGCTGGAAATCGAGCTGGAGCCTTCCATGAATTACGTCGTCGCCGGACGCCGGGCAGCGTTATTACAAGATAATGGACGGGACGGAACGGGCGCCCAGCCCAGCCATCCGGACCCGCCCCGCCCTGTGCCTGACGGATGAAGGGGCGCTACGCCACGCCACGAGCGCACCGCGGTCTACCTCGGTGAATACCTCCCCATCCTCCTCGACTTGGCTTTGCTCTTTTCTACAGTGTATACTAATCACCTACAACCACTGAAATAGTCACAAATGCAAGAGGCCAGTCTCTAAACCCATACAAAATATT